GAAATCTACGGATATCAATGCCTGTCAGGGCAATCAACCTTAAAGTATGATATGGAGAAGAACTAGCTACCCTTAGATGGGAAACTTGGATTCTTTTTAGAGCCTTAAGCTTATGTCAAAAGCCAATTTTGCTTTCCCTCTATACATCATTCCATATTATCTATAGTCTTACCTGCCCTAAAATAATTTATATTGGATCAGTATTTTTGAAACAGCAGATTAACATTGAGTTCCACCAACTAAATAAAGCCTTAATCTTCAGTTTTGTATCTTCAAATATATTTAGCAACGAAACGACCAATTATTTTTCATCACTATTGTTAACCTGCTGTTAGAATGTGGGATCACATGAACATAAAGATCAGTTCAGGTGAGGTAAAAGCAGCATCATTTTAACAGATGAAATGTGTTAGGTGATAGCACAAACTGCCCAACATCAACTGTGCATGACGTAGACTGAAAAAGATGTTCTTGCTCTTCTCTGACCATCAGGGTGAAACGTACAAATACTTAGCAAAACTCGAGTTACCTAATGCATTGTTTGTAGTTTAATTTACTCAGTGCTTATAGTTTAATTCACCCCCAAATTTTCAATAAGAATTTGAATATTTTCTAGAACAAACTGATATGGATATAAGACCTAAAACTAGCATATTTCCCTCTGATTATAAATTCTAAAATCAATTTACTTTTGGCATGCTCTTCACCTAACAAGGCTAATCGATCTTCTAATCTTCCAAGTTGCATTTTGTTGAAGAGATTAGAAAAATGGACTGACAACATCAGCAAGTTCATAGCTTTACTTCATGGAGAAATCATGAGAGAAATGAACGATCTACAACAACGGTCATAAAATATTTTGCTGCTTCTTAGGAGAGAAGGTGAATTAAAGAAACTCAGTTTGGTTTCAAAGTATATAGATAATTAAGCTCTCAATTTTCTGGAGTTGAGCTATTAGCATTTGAAATTTTATTGATTTTTTTTCCACACTTTAGCTGATAATCTCTAGAATGAGAATCTTGATTTACTCTAGGCCATGAAAGTTTATAGAACTCTGTTTTACTGGAGCCTTCTGCCAGTTTGAAAAGTCAGTCTATTTCCAAAACGACATATAAACCAGGAAAGGTATTAAATGGGAATCAGGGTTAGGATGGAAGAGAAGGATGATAAGACCCTTATTGTGGTTTTCATTATTATTTTATAAATATTGTAAATGATGAGGATGGTGGAGATCTGCACACTGATATGGAAGCACCGAAAATATCTCCTAAAGTAGAACAGAAATGATTTTTTGGTTACTCACTTCTCATTAGTCAGTTGTTGTTCATCACACAAATAGTTCACTTTTGTAAAGCAGTCATTTCAAACTTTAGACTTTATTTACAATGATAATTTTTATATCTTTATTACTTAGAAAATAATTTATATTTTTCCATCATTTAAACAAAGAATAGGCCTGAGTCTCATGCCTTTTGCACAGCTTTTACCTTCAAAGAAAGTTCTCTGGGAAAGTGACAGGGCACATCAAGAAACTGCAAATCAAGAGAGGCAGGGGACATGAGGAAATCCCTATACACACATGTAATATGAACAGTATGCATGACATACAATCCCTCTTCTTTAGTTTTACTGGGATTGCAATGGTTAGATTTGTTCTGGAATTCCATCAAAATGGAACAGACAGAATTGGGTATTCTGTTTTTAGAAAGTGGATATTTTCTTAAACATAATATAATTCACTTGTCAGATGAAGACCAATATAGATATATCCTGTACAGAGCTACTGTCTTCATCTACTGAGAGCAAAACCAGGTCTTACATAAATGACAAGAAAAATAATTTTACAGTTATAAAAAAAAAACTAAAGTGGTGTTCTCACCAAGGAAACAATATTCTAAAGGTTGGCTTAGATAGATAACTGGAAAGACATCCTATTAGCATACTGGAAATGACAACGATGACACTCATAGTACACCTGGTCTTTTCCTTAACAGAGACCAACCACTAGCATCCAGGTCACCAGTTCCAACTTTTCCTACCATTGGTTTTATGGTTGTCTATACAATTATCTTTTACCCTAAATGGGCTAGAAATTCCTTCATTTGAAAGACCTGAGTTTATCTAATGGCACCTATAATTAGGCTCATATAAAAATGTAGTAAATTGCAACAAATACACCGGCACCACAGGAAGTAAGCTTCAGATTTGGAAGTGAACACAGTAATATTGCTGTCACCGAGGGGGAGAACATCACTAGCAGAAAAAATCTTTTTATGTCCCTAGGCATCCTTTGGGATGTATTGGGTGTGTACGAAAGTCACAAATTGGATGAATCTCATTTCAATTGACTTCTAGCTTTCATACACTGGCAATTTAGTTTTGAGATAAAAATTATCAATCTACCCGGACTGATGAACACGAGTCTGAAATGAAGAGGTTCTAACTGCTTGGACCGCCATTATTTCTATTATTTCATGTACCTTAAAACAAAACAAAAACCAGGCAGTTTGCTAAGACCTGTACTCTGGCAGCCAGGCTGGCTCCTATTCGGGGCCGTGCAGCTTTGATGAGGTGGCTGATCTATAGGGTTACGGACTCACAACTGCTCTTCCGCTGTTCTACTTGCTCCACACCTAGATTTTTCCTTGACTTATATTTACTTGAGAGATGAATGACATTTGGAAAAGGGGAATAGATTAGTTTTGTTAAGTAAATTAGATGTAAGAGGTACGTGAGTATAAATGCTTTTTTTTTTTCCTTCTCTTTATTTGCAAGGGAAGGAGAACAGTTAAATTCACTAGGGAAATGTATTTGACTCACAGTAATTTTTACAAACATTGAGGCACACAGGCAATGCTAAGAAAAAGGAAAACAATTCAATAAGTCCTAAATAATGAAGACCTGGTGTTAACTCAGGAAAATACTGAAATCATTCTAATTATTTAGGTACAGCCTGAATCCATTTGATCCTTTTCATATTTTCCTACTTATTGGGAAATCTGCCTTGAAACCATGTTTATTTTTGATTGTATTATCTTTGCTTTATTTAAAGAATGCCATGGATTATTATAAGATCATTGCTTTGGAAGGGAAGAATATAATATCTATTCATGAGAAGCAAAGGCATTTTTAATGTAAACACTCTTTTCTGTGACTTCAGAGGAAATAAAAAGTAGAAATCACAATTAAGGTTGACTTAGAAGCTAAGATTGTTTAGAGGAGAAGATCCGCATATAGTACTGAAGGAAGAATTGTGACCAGGAAGTGTTGGGAAGAAATGGACACCAATATAACATTTGGTATTGGTTAAAAAAGTATTTCACTTGGGAGACATGGACCCAAAAGTTAGCAAAAGTTACCAGTGAAAAAACATTCTTTGCAGCATCCTCATTTAATTGGCATAAAATAACTGTATCTGATTATCATTTAAATTAGAATAGGTAGATGAGTGGCTGTCCATAGACCTCCATGCAAATGAATCATCACTCTTACTGGGCTTGGGGATAGCTACAATGTATCAAAAGGGTGATTAAAATATAACTTTATAAAAATGTTTCCCTTTTCCCTTTTTTTTAAAAAAAAGTTTACTATCTACAGAAACAAAAAAATCTTTATATTTACATCAAGATAACTATTCATGACAAATATAATAATATGAAATAAAATATTGAAAGTGTGTATCAACTTTTTAAATAGAGGTTTGGCTCATAGCATAAACAAGTGTAGATAAACAAACAAACCGAAAAAAAAAAAAAGAGACTTTCAATAATAGGCCCAGTCCCCCCAAATCCCTCTATAATCTTCCCTGCCAAAAGACGCATGTCCATGGGCGAGATTGCAGAGAGAAGCTACCTCATCACAGCATGTGGAACCCATAACAGGGTTGGTCACTGGGACCCTCACCACCCAAAAGCCAATCCTTTAACAGTTGCAAAGAATCAGGCTCTCACTATGTCAACAAACACCAAATCCTGGGTTGACATTTTCCCCTTCATCTCTTGCTATATAGCCCACAGTGTGTTTCTGTTTGCCTTTCTTTTTTATTTTTCCACCATACATTTTGCAGCAAATTAAGACATGGGAGATCACTGTTAAGAGCAATTTCCCAGATCTTCTCTGGCAACCTTTTAGAATTCTAAACCGACTAGCAGACCTGACTCCAGCCCCTTCCTAGGTGTTTCTGTATAAAGAATGCCATTTCCTTAAATGGTGATTTGATCTCAGGTGAGTGACAGACATACTCATAGACCAACAGCTCCTCTACATTCATTAGGCGAGTAGACTGCAAAATGCCTCAGTCTTCCAGGTTTAAGGCTGGTGATAGAGAGCCTCCAAGTGGTGTAGAGCAGTAGTACCAGTCACGTGGCCCTCTCACCCAGCCTGTGAAGACCCTCCCTCCACAGAGGGACCTCTATGGACCTTTATTGAAGCGAAATGGAGGAAGGCGTTTGGAATGGCTGCCTCTCAAAGACACTCCAGACTGAACTTCTTTCTGTTTGTTCACACGTGCTGAGTCATCGCTGCAGCAATTCTATGAACTGCTAAAACCACAAAAATCTCTTTACATACATACAGACACACAAGCACCCTTTCAATCCTCTCTCTCTCTCTCACACACACACACACACACACAAACACACACGACATTGGCAGGATGTATAAGAATTCAAATAATGCTCTGGAACTTTCATCCCTCAGCACTAAGAGCAAAAGCTTCTTAGTCATAACCTGCATTTGCAGCACTATTGCCCTGCTAAGCCGCACCATTTCCCTTGTGATTTGTTTTCCTTTATTTTTTCCTTTATGATTTATTATATCACAGTGACCACTATATATCTTACTATGAACGTTACTAAATTGTGGAGCCAGCATTCCTGGCTTTCAGTGTGTATGTGTGTGTGTGAATATGTTTTACTGGTATCTACGTGAGAGCTTATATACATACACACATATGTATTTCTTCCTTAAAAAAATCCTTAGAAGCTGGTGTTGCAAATGTGAAAGCCTCTTTGAGCAAGAGTTTTTAACAATGTACCTCACTGTAAAAATAACACATAAAATGCGAAAAATCCCACAATGCAACAGCCATTTGCCCATCTTCTCGTATTTCTACAGTGTTGTGTCTAAGTGTTGTGCTGGCTTGAAGAGACTCTGTGACAAGTCACTCTGTTCGGAAACACAGCTCATTCTATCCATTGTCACTCGTTTGGCTTTGGGGTTGGGATCTCCTCTTCTCTTGGCTTTGCTTTCTCTTCCTCTTCTTCTCTGATGGCCTGGATCTGTTCCGAGGAATGCTGCTGGGCGGACTGGTCCAGGGACTGATTTTCTATGCCTGCCAACCGCTGTTCCTCTTCAATGACTTTCTTCCACATCTTGTGGTTCTGCAGGAGGTGCTGAGTTATTTGGCAGTAGATTTTCCTCCTTTTGAAAGTTTTCTTTCCTGAGAAAACACCAAATTAGACTACTTATTTGGATGTTGAGTACATGACAGTTATTTCTTTTCACATAAGTAATAGGAGTTAATTACCAAATGGATACTTCTATCTATCATTTGATTTGTATATTGTAACAATGTCATTTTTTTTTTTTTTAAAGATTTTATTTATTCAGTTTTTCCCCCCAAAGCCCCAGTAGGTAGTTGTATGTCATAGGTTCACATCCTTCTAGTTGCTGTATGTGGGACTCGGCCTCACGTTGGACGGAGAAGTGGTGCCTCGGGGCGCGCCCGGGATCCGAACCCGGGCCGCCAGCATCAGAGCGCGCGCACTTAACCGCTAAGCCACAGAGCCGGCCCAACAATGTCATTTTTGAGAGTGGGGAAGTGGGAGATGGTAACAACCATTAATGTATCATTGAGACTTAACTGTGAACAGTATTTAATATTTGGTAATGTCCAATACAACACTCTGCTTGTATCTTTCTATAACTCCTATTACGTTCAGATCTTCAAGAGTTTTCACTCAGACTATAGACATTTTCTTGTTATGTCTTCCTTTACTTTGTCAACCAATTCAACTCATAAAGGTCTAAAAGATTGATTTCTTTAAAAATGGTTTTTGGGCCGGCCCGGTGGCGCAGGCGGTTAAGTGAGCGCACTCCACTGCGGCGGCCCGGGGTTCGCTGGCTTGGATCCCGGGTGCGCACTGACGCACTGCTTGTCAAGCCATGCTGTGGCGGCGTCCCATATAAAGTGGAGGAAGATGGGCGTGGATGTTAGCCCAGGGCCAGTCTTCCTCAGCAAAAAGAGGAGGATTGGCAGATGTTAGCTCAGGGCCGATCTTCCTCGCAAAAAAAAAAATGGTTTTGATGTTACTGTTCTGCTTCACACGGACTAAAAATTAATTTCTAACTCCTCTCAAAGTTCTCCCACAAGCTGGCCAAACACACTTCAGTCTTCTTCCTTCTGCAGCCTGGCTCCTATATATACTTAACTGCTCTCTTGTCTGGATATACACTGAACTCTTCTATTTTTAAGCTGGTACTACTTTTGAAACATTCTTCTCACTCACTGAAAGTTCATGGCCATTATTATTTTAAGACCCAGTCAGATTTCACTGAATTCCTCTTCTAAGAAATCTCTCTCTCTCTTCTAAACTCTCATGTCACTCCAAATATACTTCTCAGAGTAGATATTGTTCCCATTTCTCATCATCATTATCTCTTTTTCTGGTAACTGCATATCAAAATCATTTAGGGGGAACTCTTATCCCTTCTTTCAATTATGTAGTTCTAGAAAAGGTTGTCAAACTCTACTTCCCTACCCAACTCCTGACAACACAGCTGTGTCACAGTGATTGGTCAATTAGTAGGTATGTGACCCAAATCAGGCCAATCAGAGTCCTTCCCTGGGATTTTTCCCAATGGCACAGAATGAGTAAGAGGTCGGGGAATGAAGATCAGAGTGTATGTGGATGCTTGTGTATCTGGAATGAAGTGAACAGAGAGCTGGCTACAGTTCCAGCTTCATGAAGAAAGTAAGGTTGAAAGAACAAGCTGTGAAGCAGGTGAGTCAGAGACAAGAACAGAAGCAAGTACGCACGGATACTAGCCAACATCATGTTTACATGAACCAATAATTTCCCCTTTTGTATATACTCATTTGATTGGAGTTTTATCACCTGTAACAAAAACAATGTCCTCAATAATGCACATCCTTGAAGGCACTTATCTTGTCCTCATATATTCTAAGCATCAGCTCCTCTACTAGACAATAGCCTCTTTGAGAGAGTCTTGTAAAGACCTGTACAGATCTTATAGATGACAAGACTCAGCAAATATGCATTTAATAAATAAATAAATTACATTTTCTTGTGACCAATTTAATGTTTTCAATATGGAAATACTACAGACAATTTTCACAGAGTTGCATCTCTTGATTGAGGAACTGTAATAAAACCAATTTCAATAGAAGAAACATGACGTTTTAAAGAATTTGAATTAATGTCATAATTCACTGTTTAGGCTTCCAATTTCTCATCTACTTATTAAGCACCTAATGTGTACCAAGTATGCCAGGTTCTGATGATTTACTGATGGGCAAGATATAATGCTTGGCAGCATGGAGCTTTACTCTACTAGGAAGATAGAGGGTGAACAAGTAGGTACAATTATACTGAGTCTTACAAAGTCTTTGAAAGTGGCAGAAAAAGGGGGAAATGACTCAGGTGGGAGGATACTGCATGATGATGGTGGCTTGGACTAGGATGAGGATAATAGAAATGAAGATAAGTAGATAAATGTGAGATATATATGTGAGGTTTAAGTCAACAGGACTTTGGCAACTGATTAGATGTAGGAAATAAAGAAGAGGGAGGATTCAAAGACAACCCTGAGCTATCTGGCCTGAGCGGCTGAGTAGACGGTGGGAAGATGTACCGAGAAAGGGAACATTAGATGAGGAGTGTCTGGGAGACCTCCAAGTGGACAGGTAAAGTAGGCAGCTGGTCTTGAGCTTAGAAGTGAGATCTATTCTTTTCCTAGCAACCGTAATATAACATAACTCTCAGTACCTTCATCTGAATGACCATATTAGACTTAGGCCAAGAATTTATAAATTAGGCTATCATTCTCCTATTAGACTGTAAACTTCTCTATGGACAAAAGCTTGTTTCCTCCTTTTGTGTACATAGCCACAAAGCCCCAGACTTTAGTAAGTATTCAGTAAGAGTTTACTAAATGAATTATGCTCTCTCTAGTTTCTGTTCCACAGTTCCAAGTAAATGGTGAAGTGTTGATCAGTGATAAAAATGATAATGATATGAAAAAGCTGTCCACAGGAAATTCTGATCTTATTGAGACTACATTAAAGAGTTGACAGTACAAATTACCAGGATGATCAGCACGGATATTTGGGTTTACTCAACAAAGTAGTAATGATTTACAATGTATAATCTGGAAGAAAAGAAGAAGAAAAAATAGTACAAATTGTAAGAAAAAAAAAAAAGAAAAAAGAAAAAGTAAAAAAGAGCCAATTGCTATGAAATTTGCCAATGGAACTAGATCTCTTGGAGGCCATCCACCAAAACTTTTGTGGAAGTGCTAGCGATTCTTTCAACAGTTTTATTAACACATACCACGGAAATTTCTTGTACTTTATAGAATAAGATCAATTTTTAAAACAGTTCAGAAAAAGGACATTAAATTATCTTGAATTACTTTTGAACCACCCAGATACACAACAAAATTAAATTGCATAATGCCAAGGGGAATGGATACAGGCAGAGTCATAAGTATGAATTTAAAAACATATTTACTGCATTCATTTTTTATTGATGAGATGGACCCATCAATCAAGCTTATATTGACTATCTACTAACTGACAAGCAGTTTTCTGGATGCTATGGAAACAAAGACGAATTAGTCTAATAGCTTGCCTTAAAGGAACTCACAGTCTATAGGAGAGAGAGCCAAAAAGACAAAAACTGGAATACACATGCTATGTTTTATGATAGACATACACACGTGGCCAGGATGGCCTTAATGTTCCCTTCAGCTTGATGAAACTTCAGACAGGTTTCTTCCAGACTATAGGACCCTGATCTCCCTTTTCTTAGAGCATTTACTTTAGAAAACCTGTAATTGCAAATTCCTTCTCTGCTCCCTTGTAATATAGGTAGATCTTTTCCTAGCCTCTAGCCAGGTTTACAATCCATGAACTTCTTCCTCAAGGACCTGGGAGCCATTTCTTTGAAATGCAATCATCAAGAAAGATCGGGTCCCTATCTTCCAGTCTCTGTGGGAGGGTAGGTGCCTAGTAATAAGCACCAATTAGTAAGCACAGATGGCCTAATCACACTGACCAACTCTCCTCTAAGGCCCTCCAGTACTTTCTCACTAGCTCATCCCAGAGCTTAAAAACTCTCCTGCGTTTGTTTCAATGGAGTTGAGTTCAATTTCTCTCCCCCATTGTTAACAGTCTTGAATAAAGTCTTTCTTGGTGTTTTTAACAACTGTGTGGTATAACTTCTCTCTGACACATCAAAGCATGGCAACACAAGAGACTCAACCTGTGAGGGAATATGTAAGATTTTTTTCAAAGGACATGACACCTGAGCTGAGATGTAAATCATGAGAATTAAATACACTGGGTGAAGAAGGGGCTGGCAGCATCCCAGGCAGAGTGAGGGGCATGTGTACAGGAAGAAGGGGGCGTGGGGCCCTGAAGCGTGACATCAATTTCTTCATTTGAAAGCTTCTTAACAAGGGATATATACATATGTAAACGAAAATTTAAAAAAATTTTTTAAAAATCTGAATTCTTTCTATAAAAATCAATAAAATATATTATTAACGCATTCGATTTTTACATGCAAATCTTTAAAATTACTCTTCTACCAAAGCTATCTACCTGTTGACTTCTACATTGTTTTTATTGTAGTTAAGTACAAATCAGCTTTTGTTGAAATTTTTAAATGTTAATATACTTTTTAACCTAATCATTTGAGTCAAGAGAGTTGCAGATGACCACTGGCTGAAGGACAGACTTGAATCACCCTTATAGGAAACACTCTCTGCTGAAGGTGATTATTCCACCTGAAAGTTATACACATTCATGGCAGTGCATTCATAGGGAAGAAGTTAACAAAAGCTCGATTTTTCTCCTATTCCTTTTAGGGCAGTTCCCATGAGAGCAGCTGCTCTCTTATTATTGCTGTTAAACGTTAGCAATAAACCTCTCTGGAATTAAACTGAATAAGGTGACGTAGAAGAAAGTTTGTACCAAATAAATTTGTGTAGATTAGAGGCTGCAGGTGGTCTAAAACATGCCTGTATTGGGAGCCAAATTGTTCAGCACTGGAACCTTTTGAAATGAGAACAAAGAGCCTTTCATTGCTCAAATTCTAAATGCAGCTTAGTACTTCATTAGAAACCTCTTAGTTCGCTGTATGAATCTTTCAGATTTAATTATGAGGTGGGGAAAAAGCCTTCTTTCCCTAGGATACCATATTGAAACACTTTATTCTGTGTTTCCTGAGAGATCCTCAAGTTCTGCAAATTGCTGAAATTATCAGTGCACATTTAATTTAAATTTTTTCTGAAACCTCTAAGTTTCAAGCTAAATCAAGACAACCATCTCAATCAATATGAATTCTGAAATTAAAATTACTAAGGCAATAGCAATGGAGTTAAAAATGAGGAAACTCGGGTTTCCTTTCTGGTTCTGCAGAAACCATCTACACCTTGGGTTGTTACTAAAACTTCTGAGCCTCAGTTTAGTCTTTTGTAAAATGAAGCAGCTGAACTGGATGATCATCAATTCCCCGTCCATTTCTAAAATTCCATATCTCCATGTGGCCAATTTTCATAAATACTAACATTGCCCAACTTTTATCATTTAGTTAGCTATGAAGGGATACTTCAAAGATAATTTTTCAAAAGCAACAGTGTCACATCGTTGATGGATGTTTAAAATTTTTTTTTTTTTTGGTGAGGAAGATTAGCCCTGAGCTAACATCTGTGCCCATCTTCCTCTGTTTTATGTGGGACTCCTCCCATAGCATGGCTGGACAAGCAGCACGTAGGTCCACACCTGGGATCTGAACCTGTGAACCCCGGGCTGCCACAGCGGAGCACGTGGACTTAACCACTTTGCCACCGGACGGGCACCATGGGTGTTTTAAATTTTAATGGAAGGTGGCCAGCTAACTTTTAGAAGCCATTTGTAAACAGAATCCACAGAATTCTCATTCCTGCTTTAGTGAGCTTGATAAAAACAAGAAAGTCAGGAAAGTAACACCTCAGAATATGGAAGTCAGTATGGCAACTTAACTCTACAGAACAGAAAGGAATAGAATAATTGGTTGTGGCATTTGCTGCTAAAGGCAATGTTGACAAGTGGAGTCTCTTACATCTCTTGGCCTAGGTTCTTCAATTCTTGATGCCTGTATTACATGTGTGTTTCCTCGGTGTGTTTGAGCTCAAATGGCAATCAATTAGGGCCCATGGGAACAAAGATTTTCCAGAGGCTAAGCCAACAACACTTTATAGTATCATTCAATGAAAAACTGTCTTGTCCTTAGTAAACTACCTGGCTCTTAGAAATGAAAACACGTACAAAAAAAGAAGACAAATACATATTTATCAAATGAACAAATGAATAAATAAGCTATGAACCTCAAGTCGTGGCTCCAACCTCTGAATCCCAAGATCAGCACAAAATTTCTAATGGAAATCTTTCTATAAGCATCAGAGAAATAAAATGTAATTACTTTGATAATACAATATTGAAGGAAAACAATTTTTGATTTTCCCCTCATCCTGTACAGCAGTTAATATATAGGACAGAACTTAAACAAAAATCTGACCTAAAGCCAAATTTGCAAAACCCTGTCTCATCAGTCTATAGTTAACAATGACCTCTTTATCTCTGATTACATGAGCCTGCAACAGGGTACTTATATGAGGGCACAATGGGTCAATACTCACATTAGAACACCTTAACTAGACGGCCAATATGAACCAAGACATGCATTTTCCTGAATGTGCTAAAAAACAGGAACAAATGATCAGAATGTCTTTCATTGGTAATATTTTTTGTGAGGGCTTTGAAAAATTTTGATATTAAGGTTGTACTTTCTTTTGAAGGTAGATAGAAACTACATACTACGTCCTTATGAACACAGGAACAGTATTTGTGCAATGTCACTGTAAGGTTTTACCAATTATGCTATTAGGTTTTAAGGGTTTTACTAATTATGCTATTAGGGCCTCCTCCCTATGGCAGGAGAAATAGCAGAGAATATTTCAAGAGGCGAAGAAAAATAATCTGTTTTTATAGTCAATTAAGTTAAATGGATTAGATTGACTATATGATGCACTCCAAATCAATCACCAGATGTGACCATTTCTCTTTGTCATTACTGCTACTACCCTGCCTGGTCCAAAGCCACAGTCATTTCTCACTTGGATAATTTCAATAGCCTCTTAACTCACTGCCCCGCTAATACTCTTGCTCCCATCTCAAACTTGAGAATACTCTCAATACAGCAGCTGACGCAATCCAGTTAAAATGTAAACTGAATCAACTAACTTCTGCTCAGAATCTCTGATGGCTTCCCACCTTACTTAGAGTAAAAGTCAAACTCCATGCAGAGCCCGACCTTCAAATCCTACGTCCTCTGCTCCTCACTCTCTCTCTCCTGCTGCTCCCCCACACCTTTCCTCTGCTTCAGCCACTCCAGCTCTCCTGATGCTCCTTGGACATCCAGCCAATGCCCAGCTCAGGACTTTCATACGGCTTGCTTTCCTCTCTCCTGGAAACGCTTTTTCCACATCTACTTTCATGGATAACTCCCCCTCAGTTCTTTCAGTCATTTTTTTAAATCTTTTTTTTTATTTAGACCTTCCGTGTCTATCTTATCTAAAATTTTAACCTTTCTCTGCAATATTTCATATCCACCTACCTTTTTATTTTTACCCTAGCACTTATTACCACCTAACATACTACAGATTTACTGATTTGTCTTGCTTAGTGTCTGCTGACCCCACTGGAAAATCAGTCTAAAAGGGCAAGGATTTATTTATTTATTTTTTGTCTGATTTGTTCATGGTTCTATCTTCACTACCTGGAGGAATGCCTGGCACAGAGTAGGTGCTTAATAACTATTTGTTAAATGAATGAGTGATAATTACCTCTTACTGCTTCACATGGCCTTTCCCTAAACAAGCCAATAAAAGTCTATGGTTGGTCTATATGGTAACTGAAATTCCTTTCATCTCTAAATCATTAAGATACTCTGAAGAATAGGCCTCAACTATTTAATTTCTTTTTACTTCATGTCAGAGAACATATGTTTGTACGAACATGGTATTATAAGAGATTCCATAGTCTGTAACTTCTATTATTATGATATGGGGAAGGAGGACTATTCATGATCAAGTGCAGCAGATGATACCTGGACTCAGGCTATGTAATTGTGAGCAGTATAGAATTCACCTGAATCTAAGTAAGAAAACAATCCTAAGAAAAACACCTTAGAAATAGATTTTATGACTTACTTGGAGATTCATTATTTTCACAGGTTTCCTCTTCCTTTGGTGCTTCTTCCTCCTCCTCTTCCTCTGGGTCATCGGTATCTCCTGACTCATCACTGTCTTCCACCCATTTCCCTGGCATCAGTCCTGCTGAATCATAGGAGTTGCATAGAGGACCCACAATGTGAGAGATGAAGGATTCCTGAAGATTGGCCAACTGAGGAGCAGAACGGTCCATGAAAGGGCTTATTGGTAACCCAAGGCTGGCCTCTTCATCCCCCTAGAAATAGGAATTTAGCATGAATAGTCAACTAGAAAGGTAAATGACAAGGAAAGTTTAAAATACAAGTCAACATTTATTTGGCATCTAAAATTTGCAAATATGTAAGGATCCAGACTTTCATGTGTGAACTCCCTCTTTACTTGACTGCTAAGAGATTCTACCCAAATTGCTAAGATTCCTGTAGAAATGCTTTGTTGCCATTTACCACTTTTGTGATCTTGAAGTTTTGGCTTTTGATCAAGGGGAGCTACAAGAAATGGTGTAATGTCTCAGTAGATGATATTTCTTATCACACTAGTCAGTGTTCCTTATACTAGAATATCAATGCATCTTAAAACACAATGCTGAGAATAATTATCAAGCAAATACATAATCTATCATGTTTTCCTTTTTGGTCTTGGCTGCCAGAAAGCTTAAAATAATTTATTGCTCAATTAAAGTTGCTGCCTATCCCAGCCTTTGGTTGAATTATATCTTCTGTGACTATATGGCTTCTGATATTCTTATTTATCTATATGTTTAATTTTACTACTGTATAAGTGTTTTTATTTTGAGCTGCTTTAAATCTTTCTGAAAAAAAAAAATAACAGATTGTAAACCAGTAATTACCTGGAAAAATTAATGAATGAATATACCAAAATATCAGCAGAGGTTATGCCTATGTGGTGGAATTATTATAAATGGATTTTCCTTTTTCTTTATATTTTTTCTGTATTTCAATATTTCAGGACTGATTATGAATTAATCTCATTCCTAGGAAAGGCAATACATTATTTTCTAGAGAGCACAAACCTTTTATTCTACATATGAATACCCATAGAAGTTCTTTCTAATCTCTCTTTAAATATGTCCAGTGACAGGCAATTTATTACTTAATAAGGTGCCTCATCCTATTTCTAGATGCATTTATAATACAAATTTCTTTCTGACATTGACCTGAAATCAATCTCCCTAGAACTTCTATAGACTGGTTATATTCATATCCTTTTTAAGGAAGCAGAAAGCAATCTAACATTTCTTATAAATTAGATGCTGTGTTAAATACCTTGTCTAATTTATCTTCTTTAATCTCCACAATAATGTTATGATAAACCTAATCCTAAATTTGTATGTCAGTCTTTTAAGTATCTGAAGACAGTTATTAGGTCACCTCTATTTTCCCCCAGGGTATATATCTTCACTTCTTTCATGTCCTTTGATGTTACTGATCCCTGTCCTTTACCCATGTTCCATTACCTCCAGATTCCTCTTAACAGAGTGGTTCACAGTGTTGAACACAAAGTTTCAAGTATAATCTGATCAGTGTAGGGTAATATGGGGAGATCACCCCATGCTTATGTTTTTGTGGTAGGTATTTCGGTAGTGTGTTAATTCTCACATTATCATGTCAAACAAAATGCCTGTTATTGTTTAGCTTTTCCATATACTGTTGTTATTAAGTCTATTAGAAAAGTAAATGAACTTAATCTGATATACATTCATCCAAGAAGCTAATTTAAACTAGCTTCTATTATAATAAATTTATAAAAAACCAATATTTCAATGGTCTTCGTAATGTCTCACTATAGGTCATCCCATTATCTCAACATCTTCCTCTCCCCAAAACAGTTGCAAATAACTTTATCTTAAAGTTTTTATTGTTATAGTTTAATTCAATTTTTTGTCATTTTTTAATCCTCTGATTAAAATTGGCCAGTGGATTTTCTATTGTTAGAATGAATATGAAACATTGATCACACTTTCACAGCTTTTAGCAGCTTTGGTGAATTTATGAGCAGCCATAAACAAGTTAGATACCTGTTCATAAAATTCATTGACAATACCCTCTGTCCACTGAAGATGGAGCTCTTTACATTTAGCTGGCCCATTGATGTCAGCCAACTTTATACACATTTGACAAACCAGTAGACGATCATTTTCATTGGTCCAATCTATTCCGACATCATCATTCACCTGTTTGAGGGACAAAGTTAAAATGCGTTTTGCCTCAATGAAAGCAAAAGTTGAACAGAAGAATAAATGACAGAATATTCATCGTCTTCCTAGGATGTGGAGATCAGAATGGCAAATAATGAAGAAACTTCTCAGCTATTTAAAATAATGTTACTGGCTTGCGTAAATTAATAGCAAAATAGTTCATCAAAAAAGCAAAATAATAAATGATGGATAAAATAATTATTAATTATTGAATTGAAAATAAATGTATTTAAAATTAGCATATGTTATCAATTACTATTAAAATAATGTAGCTACAGATGATAAGAAATTTTCTTGAATTAACATTTGGGCATTTATGTTTGATGTATGAAATTTTCTTTCAGGTTTTGACTTCTACTGCCAGATAATTTATGTTAGTATCCACAGATATGAGAGCAAATTAAATCAAATAAAAACACAATGATAGTTAGAATTTTATTTCTCTACAGCACACAATATAATATAAATAACAGCATCTGAACTTCTCAGATTTCTAGATTGGGACCAATGTCTATATATCTGCTTCTGGTTAAACATTCTACTGCATTTCATTTTCACATTTGACATAGAAGAGGTTGAGAGCAATGAGTTTTGTTCAACACTTTGGTTCCATGACATTTTTCAATACGGCCAGAAAATTAAGACCAGTACAAATCTAGTTACCTTGGCATTAAATTTGGCTACGAAGTCAAAGTGTTTCTTCAGGTCAGTGGCCAAAATTGCTTCAATGACAAGGAAACGGAAATGCTTAAATTCCACGTGGTCAAGGTTAACTAAGAAGTTATACTCTGGCCGGGACATGAAAAGATTCCATGCAGCAGCTGCGTGATGATTCTCCAAAACTGAACGGTCATTATAGAGCACCGCCTAGGCAAAAAAGTAGGAGAGTGAAGGGCTCAATTTTTTTAATTTAAAAAAAAAAAAATCACAAAAATAAATGAGAATATGCAAAGCTTTTGGAATCATCTTTTTTTCATGGAACACAGAAATGTAATCTTGTGACTGCTGGTTATTAAGAATCACTTATTGCAATTACATTCACTGTTGATTACCTTTCTTGGTTAAGTTTCATTTTTTTGTAAGATAAGGTTCATTTCCTTGAAACTTTATTCCAAACTCTTGCAAATGAGGGGCTTAGATTTAGCTTTTATCAGATTTCTTTGCACAGGAATTTAACTATAAAAAAAAAGGAAATAAATGGGGCTGGCCCATTGGCGCAAGCGGTTAAGTGCGCGTGCTCCGCTGCAGTGGCCCGGGGTTCACTGGTTCGGATCCCAGGTGCGCACCGACGCACCGCTTGTCAAGCCATGCTGTGGCGGCATCCCATATAAAGTAGAGGAAGATGGGCATGGATATTAGCCCAGGGCCACTCTCCCTCAGCAGAAAGAGGAGGACTGGCAGATGTTAGCTCAGGGCTGATCTTCCTCACCAAAAAAAATTAAAAAAATATGGAAATATACTAAATAGCCCTAAGAAGTAACTCAGTTACTTCTTGCATCTAGAATAAGAATTACCTTCTCTTAGTTAAGCGTATATAACTAATAAAAAGGAATGGAATCTCTGAGAAGCCCATAATTTAAAACATTCTCACCCCACAATCAGCCATAAAAACTATCAGCCTTTATCTAGTAATTAAAAGTATATAATAAATATCCACTTGTTTGGAATTCTCTAATAATTATTGCTGGGGGGTGCTGCAAAAGACAAGGAAGTTGCCTAAAAATGCTTGAAGCCTAGTGTGGTAGATAGATGATAGAAAAAAGGCGTAAGAACAAAAAAGAAAGACTAAGCACATGAAAATTAACATTGAGGTAAGTAAAAATGCATACATATGTAGGAAAATCTGAATGGTAAATGGTCCTGGCAAGAAGATTTGCTCGACTATCTTTAGGGAAGATAATTCTGGTGTTTGAAGGACACGCTGAAAGAAGCTAAAGTAGTTGTCAAGAAAAAAAATCTGGATATTTGTGTTGTACATAGATTAGAAGAAAATTCTAGACTAGTCTATACAAGAGAGGTTGTGGAAATGGATGGGAACTGGGTAAAAGATAAAACAAACAAAAAAAGAGAGTTTGGGATCAGATTGGCCTCTAGATGCTCTAGAAAGAAAAACAGGACCTCGGAATGTTTAGTAACATGGGTCCAGCTAATTAAATCAAGGAGAAGCTTACTGAGTTTAACTGTATGATGGAGATGCCTAGATACTTAGTCATAAATTTTCCACTTAGATTTAAATATACATGAAGTTGAACTTCTCTAAAGTTATTGCTTTTGTCATACTATGTTCAGGTGAAAATATTTCCCTCAAATGAGTGAAATAAATAGATTTTTAATTCCTACTAACCAATAGAAATGTCATAAGAATCATAATTGTTATAATGAATATATTTCAAAGGAATGGGATTTATTTACAAAGAAGCCTTACATTCTTAAAAGTCCAAGAAAGATTTGGTTCTCTAATCTTTTCAGAAAGGGACTTTTGTAGAGGTTGGATTTCTTCGTTGAGGAGGTTCATTAACATGAATTCAAGTAGTTTTTCTTCTTAACAAGAAAATTGAGAAGGGATCCCCATGGATAATAAAGCTGCATACCTGTCATTAGTATCTTGGAACAAACAATGATAGCTTTTCAAAATCAGCATGGTCTCTAAGAATTTTATCCTGGGGCTAAACATAGTTTGCCTCATGTTCACTTGGTCTCTATTATACGTGAAATTTATAAAATTAATTTTCTTCAGAGAAATCTCTAAATTAATTTTCTTCGGAGAAATCTCCTAATCAAAATGGAAAGACTTACCTGAGGAGCACTAGTTGCAACCAGGAAAGCATTAGTCCTTCCTGGGTGATCATAGTCATGCATGGCTGCAGCCACATACAGTGCCATCAACTCTAAGGCAGGGATATTTCCAGACAAACAGCCGTATTTATCATCTGGCACATTATACATTTTTGAGAATACATATCCCATATGACCATGTGTAAATCCACTGTCAGAATCTGAGAAGAGAAAAGGAAAGCAATAGAAAATTTTTAAAAGAATTAAACTGATATCATGTGTCTTGGCCTGGTTTTTAAAAAAACACTCTTCTGTTCCCATAGTTCACAAGGGAGCACAGATGTACTCACTGCGTACCTGAATCACTTGCTGATCCGTGATCATTGATCACAGTGGAGAGGCCTGGGATAGGCTGCGTGGTGAGATACCAAACAGCATGCAAGACATCAGTGGCATGGATTCTGTTGTGATCTGTAACCAATGCAAAGGAACAGTCATTAACTTGTGAACTTTGGGTCCGAGGACTGAGAGTGCCATCTACTGGATAAACAGTTTAGTCCTAACATTTTAATACCCCAGTGAAAGGCAGCCAAATATTCTAGGACAAATACTCTTTGATTAGTCTTGGATTACTCCATAATATCCATAGTAACAAGAAAAAAAAAACAACACTCACAACATTCCTTATGCATGTAGATGTACGAAGTGGAAAAGTCTGTGTCCAGAGTCTACCAGAAACCTAACATATACAGGAAACTCACCGTGTGAAACAACTGTAATGTTTACTCTTGTACGTACTTCCATGCTCCTGGGTAAGACTACGTGGAGGACCAGAATAAAAGAAAGACCGTGACATACTTCAGCTAGGTCAGATCAATGGTCTATAGCACCCAATATTTCATCACTGATAAACTGCACCCAATATAATCTGTGAATAGAACACAGTACTATCCTTCTGCATCAAATTTAAAACACTGTAATAAAACAAATAATATATCCTTTATATGTTGATTAAATCCACAAAGCAAAATTCAAAACCAAATCAACAGTGTTCTTTGATCTAGAAATTCTAATTTGGGAATACAGTTCTAGGAAATACCTAAAGAGAAAAAATTAAAACCTCTGAACAATAATGTAGGGAGTTGAGCCATTCAGAAGAGTACCAAATCCCCTAGTCATAATGTTATTATCGTGGGAAGGGGGTCCTATTTTTACATGTGCAGTTCAGCTTCTATTGAACCAGGACCAAAGACCCAGTGTGTTCTTGGCTCACCTTCTTTCTCTGGTGCAATTCTTCCACGTTTTTCTCTTGTTTACCTGGCCCTTCATAATACTTCACTGACTGGTATGCTTTATCTTAAATATGCTAACTTTAAACATTTTATTTCTAATGGCCAACCATGATGATACAGTTTCTTTCCCCAATATAACAGATTACATCTCTGAATAATACAGTCATGCATCGCTTATCGACGAGGATACATTCTGAAAAATGCATGGTTAGGCAATTTCGTCGCTGTGTGAACATCATAGAGTGTACTTAAATCTGGATGGTATAGCCTACTACACACCTAGACTATATGGTACTAATCTTACGAGACCACCGTCGTATATGTGGTCTGTGGTTGACTGAAACATCATTATGTGGTGCATGACTGTACTCAACAGATGAGGAGAAGAGAAAACAGAAGAGAAGAAGAATGATAATGGGAACTTGAGAGAAACACCTGTTCCCTGGTCAGGGAAGAAAGAAGCAACTATGATATCTGTGGTGCTGGCAGCACACAGGGGGAATGTAGGTAGATGGTGACTGTTTTCCTACATTTCTGGCAACTGTTAGAAGTCAGTCTTTAAGTGATGATATGTAGCTAAATCTTAGGTAAACACTCCAGGAATTCAGTCAAGGGGCTGAGTGAGGGCTCGAGAGGCTGTCTTCAGAAGAGCTTTGAGAACCAGACCTCCTAGGCTCCCAAGGGAGAAATAGCAAGACCTGTGCACGGTGTCATTGCCAGAGGTGAATATTGATACTACCTAGTACTCCAAGGAACAATTTTATTAAAATTGAAGTCTATATCTCTGTGTATAGACTATCTCAAGCTATTCAAGACAATTACATTTTATATCTATACTTGTGCCATGTACAACGGTGACCATGCTAGAAGTTTCTGGATTTAGGACAGATCTGATTTTATCTCTGCTCTGATATCTATTACCTGTGTTACTTTGAATGAGTTACTTAAAACTCTAAGTCTCACTTCCTTATCTTAAAAATATGGAGATGATAATAGTGCCTATTTCATAGTACAATTGTGGGAACTACAGAATGGAACATATTTTAAAGTGCCTGATATATAGTAAGCTTGTGATTAATGTAAACATCATTCACATAAATTATTGCTGTTAGAACAAGATGGTGAATTAGCACACATCACTGTTTTTCTCTTGAAATCACTGCTGGATTTGTAAGAATAGAATTGAAGAGCTAAAAGAAAAACTATGCTAAGTCCTTGGGGAGGTTGAAGGCAGTGAAGGTGGAAGAGGAAGAAAATGGCAACCTGGGCAGAGGGTGACACTGTTAGGGGATATGCTGGGAGAGAGCTTCCGAATTAAGTTCTTTTCTTTTCCCTGTTGCAAGCTGGGAAGATTACTGTGTCAAGTAATTACCATTACTATCGCAAGTCAGAGAAACCCGTGCATGCGCCCAGCATTACAAGGGTGGTTGGGGGCAGTATCAGGGTGGGCGGAGCCTGTCTGGAGTGAGAAATAGACAGCATCAAGTACAGGCAAACTTGCAGCTCCTAAACTGTACTGCTTCCTGCCCTTTCCCTGCCCCAGGGCCCAGGTCCAGAAGGCTTTATAGGTAATTTTTACAAACTTTCAATGAACAAATAATCCTATCTAAATAATTTAGTGCCGAAAATATAAAAAGAAGGGAAGCTGCCAAACTCATTTTTATGAGGCTAGTATAATCCTGATTCAAAAACTAGGTAAAGACAGTATATAAAAAACAAGTACTCCTTTTGCTTTTGAGTATAGGTTCAAAAGTACTAAATAAAACAATAGCTAACCAAACCTGACTCCTTAAAAATATCTATGTCTAGTTATGCATGCGTAGATCTAGGAGAATCACATTGTCACTATCACTTAAGCAGGATGGAAAATCATCTGCCTTGTGAGCAGTCAATAACATGTTTATTAAACAAACATTTACTTAGCATGTACAATGTGCAAGCACTGGGTTAAGTCTGGCATCACTATTGCTCTCGCCATTAACTCTGTGGTGACCAACTCACAGCAAAGACACCCAGGAAAGAAGCTAGCCAGGTCAACATAGGGTACCGACAGGTCTCTGTAGGACACACAAACACAAAGATTCCTCTTCTTCTTCTGGCCATGGAAGGCAACTGAGAGGGATAAGGAATAATATCAGAGCTATCCTTACTATCATCCTTATTATTATCATCCCTCTTCCTTCATCTCTGCATTTTGGACAAACCCCTAACTCTCTTGATAATTTCCTCACCCACCTGGCAAGCCCCTTTGCCTCTCTGAAAACACATAAACACACAATGACACACTAACACATCGCAGGCCCTACCTCTTTCCCAGAGCCTGCCCATCTCCCTCTTCTGTCCTGATACACTGTTTCCTCAGCTTTCTCCTTATCCCTCAAGCACAGAGTTAAAGTGAGCTGGTTAGAGGGCTGGAGCTATATGCAAAATTCATAGATTTTTTTAGACCTAAATTTATAGATTTTCAACTTAAATTCTGTCTTTGCTCCTATGCACCATGGGATGAGGGAAAGTGCTCAAGTATAGAAGCAACATTTTAAACAGTTTTTTTTCCTTTGGGTATAGCTAATACTGTAACAGTGCTGCCCTTCCGGCTTATACCATGCCACTTCAGGATCTAGCTTTAAAATCGGTGGGCACATCAGGTACAGCTTAATTGAACTGAACTAAACACAGGGTGAGCAAGACTATTCGAATTCACCGCTGCCATTAAACATACATGATCACAGGCATTTCTGAGGCATTCTCCCCATTTCTCCAACGTGAATAACGAGAACGAGAGGTGTTAGGAAGAATATATTTTAGAGATGAAAGTCTTTGAAAATAGAAAAAGCACTCTCAAAAGTGACTTTGAATCTATGAATGAATATGACCTGATGATTTATCTTCTTTATTAGCCAATATGCTCAATTGAAAGGGACTATGAACAATCCAAAACATTTTTTCTCTCTGTGCAATTGAGTATAAACTATACCTTAATTTATCCTAATCCTTATATTTTTGGTATCATATTTCTATGAGTGAGCTGCCTACATTTATGACCTCGCCCACTGCTACTCCATGAAATATCTATCTTTGTCAATTTTTAAATCTAGATTCTTCAAATTTTAGTAAGCATTCTGGGTACAAATTTAAAAACTTTCATATTTTCCCTTTTCTCTTAGAAACTGTTAAAGATGTACTTAGAAGCATAATAAAATTTACTTTCTAATATTTTAGCTCATTGTCAGATTAATGTATCCCCATTTTGGTTACTCTTAGGCTTTTTCATCTACTTACAGGTTTCTTTAGCTAGATCTATTAGAAATATAGTTCCCTAGGAGTAAACATTAAAATATGTAGACATATATTTGTGTATGCAAATTATAATGAATGATAAACAAAGGTGTTTTTTTTTTTTTCCCCCAAAGTTCCAGTAGATAGTTGTATGTCATAGCCGCACATCCTTCTAGTTGCTGTATGTGGGACGTGGCCTCAGCATGGCCGGAGAAGCAGTGTGTCGGTGCGCGCCTGGGATCTGAACCGGAGCCGCCAGCAGCGGAGCGTGCGCACTTACCCACTAAGCCACGGGGCCGCCCCATAAACAAAGGTTTTAATAAACATCCATAATTAATCCATATTACAACCCTACCACACACAAGGTATTATTACTTAAATAAGTAATATTATTACTTAATAATATTATTGTTACTTAAAAGTGATCACCAATCAAGCTAAAAATTTTCTGTGAGAAGATGTAAATAAATTTTCTTTTCAGAAAGTATCTGAGACTTCTAATAAAACAAGCAAGTTTATTATAACAAATTCTTTTCACATGGAATGAAGAATCCACTATTTCAGGAAAAACATCTATTCACTTGTAACATATAAAAATGTAATAAGAAAATGTAAAAATGAATACTAAAATTTAGAATCTGGAAACTTCTTTTTACACTTAAATACTGGTCAACTCCCCTAAAATTTTATGATATACTACTTAGAGAAAAGTTAGTAGTTATATCAATTTGTACTCAATGGAACTTGGCTAGAGCTGATTCTACCACTAGAATATATTTGGAAATATAACATTAATTTGTAAATTTAGTCTGGTGACTAGCTGTTCTTTAGTGTTTTCAGTGGCTTCCTTTCTATAAAAGTTTATTTATGTAACTCCTTAACCTTTGAGAAACCACTAACACTTATGTCAATCTCTGGCATCCAACCAGGGCGGGCCCTGGGAAAATGGTATTAAAAAAAGCAAGGCTTATCTAGAGATCCTTTCAAATTTTTTAAAATCTCTCTTCCAACTTCCATGGCCCCATCGGCCAGACTTTCCCAAGGGGCCTAGTGCTCTTAAGCTCCTCTTTCTTCTACTCCCACTGTCCTATTTTGCCTGCATTTTGGGTTCCATATTCTCCAACAAATCTAAGTTGTAGATTCAATTCTTCATTCTCTCTTTTTTTTTCTTTCTTGGTGAGGAAGATTGGCCCTGAGCTAACATCTATTGCCAATATTCCTCTTTTTGCTTGAGGAAGATTTTCACTGAGCTAACATCTATGCCAATCTTACTCTATTTTGTATGTGGGATGCCACCACAGCATGGCTTGGTGAGCAGTGTGCAGGTCCTTACCAGGCCCTGAACCTGCAAACCCCGGGCCACCAAAGTGAAGTGCACGAACTTAACCACTATGCCACCGGGCCAGCCCCCATTTTCCTTTTTTATCACATAATTTGTAGATTCAATTCTTCATTCTTCTCTCCTTTCACATAACATCAGCTGGGCATTTTCATTTCAATGTAGCATGTGGACAGCATTTTGAAAAACAATATGTTAATAATGGATGACTAGGTTAATGCACTACCCCTTTCTGGAAATACCTGTGCTTTATCTATTTCCATATAATTTTTATTTAACTTCAGCTCTTTGCAACTACAAAAAGACATGGGGTTCTAATGTCCAAGGGACATAAAACTCAATTTAAAACTTAAAAGTTAAAACATGATTTAAATAACACATTTCTAACACATGCTCCAACCAATATACTATGTTTGACTACTTTTCTTTCTATGCATTTATTTCCTAAAAGTACCACGTGATTTCTACACATTTCCACAACTTCGCTGATTGTATCTGTGGACATTTTCTCCAGTTCCATATATTTTGAAGCACATAGGACAATTCTACTTACGTGTTCTGATGATACCTGAAACGCTACATATTGAAAATTTAACATCTTCTCTGTGTTTTACTTTCTCATGATTATAAATGACAAACATTCTCACAATATTCAAAGTTCATAAGCATGAACACTTGGTTGTGTCCTTTCCTTTGGTCTTCACATTATTCTGACTTTTTAAAGATTTCTAATAATTTTTCCATAATCACTTCCAGCTGTCTCTTTTTTTTCTATTTTATTCATTAGACTATCATCCACCTGTCTCTCTACCCCCCAGCCAGGTTTATCTTACATTGAAACACTTCCGCAGTTAGTAATTTAACTCTACAGACGCCAGAAAGAAAGTTAAATTCACCCAATAAAAAAAGTATATTATAAAATGAACAATAAATTTAATTATTTATTTTGCACACACTTAAATTGGAGTTACTATGTGCAAGACACTATTATAACCCCTTTAGAATTACTACCTCATTTTATCCTTGTAACAATCCTATGAAGGAGATATTATGATCCCCATTGTACAGATTAAGAAATGAGGCACGGAGAGGGTAAGTAAAGCCCCAGGTCTTGCTCAGCTGATCAGTGAAGGGACCAGTGATCTCCAATCATTATAGCCATGTGGCCAGATGGAGTGTTCATAATGTGTAATTCTGTGCCAGCTGCTAATAATTCAATATCCCATTATCCATAGCAAATTCAACAGATTTTAAAATATTATTTCACAAATAACTTCTACTTACAAGGAATTTCCCTGTATCCAATCTCCAAAGCATGAAAATAATTCATAAATTCCCTAACTGGAATTTTAAAAGCTTCAAAGAGGCCCATGTCTTCAAAAAGTCTGTATGATACCTGTAAAAGAGAAACACAAAGCCTTACAAAACATTCCTCAGTGCATTAGACATAATGAGAAAAATGGAAAAAAAAAGTAGAGTGGCTCTCCATATCTGTGAGTTGCCCATTGGTGGATTCAATCAACTGGGGACGAAGCCTACGATGGTTGTGTCTGTATTAAACATGTACAGACTTTTTAAATCTTTTATTATTCCCTAACCAATATAGTATAACAACTATTTACACAGCATTTACATTGTAAAGGTATTATAAGTAATCTAGAGATCATTTAAAATATACAGGAGGATGTGTGTAGGTTATATGAAAATACTTTGCCATTTTATATAAGAGACTTGAGCATCCTCGGATTTTAGGATCTGCTGGGGGCCTTTGAACCAATCCCTTGTGGATACTCAGGGATGACTGTATACGTTCCATCATGCATATTAATTTAATGCCGGTAGAGACACTTAATAGGGAACAATAGGAACTTAGTAGGGAACAATAAATCAAGTAGATATAGAAGACTACTATGTGCCTAGCCCTTGTAGTCCCTGATCACAAGGGGTATATAATCTATTTTTAAAAGTAGAGACATACATCCAAGAAATAGCCAACCAAAACAACAGTATATGCTATAGAAACACATCAAGACACTAAATTGTGTGTGATATCGATAATTTGAGACTTACTAAATTTTTAATTATATAGTACCTACTATAAGCACTAAAGAATGAGAGAAAGCTTTAATTTGGACTAATTTTATTAAAAAAAAAGATTTCCAGAGGATAAAGAATTCAGAGTTGTGCCTTAGTGAAGGATAAGAGGAAAGAATTATGAGAGAGAGGAAAAGTTTGCCTCGACTAAAACATATAGAGAAAAAAAGATTTATTCTAATCTAGTATTTAACAATGTCTAAACTATTTTTCCTCATTTGTCCTCTCTCATTCTCCTCTGAATATCTATTCTCCTTCCAATTTTTTCAAAGCTCTGGTGATTCAAATCAAGTGAATACTTTTGGATGTAATTGGCATATGTGACATGCAAATAATGGAGAAAAAAATGATAAAGGCACAGAAGAAAATGTGGAGAGATGGTTATTCACGTGGCAGAATGGAGTATGGTACCATGTAAAGTGGCCTTACTTCATGTCTCAAAGGCGCTGAGTTGGTTAATTCAGGAGACTAAGAAAGAATTATCATTTTTATTATCTGCATTTCTTCTTAAAATTCTCTTGAAATATTTCTTCTAAATCTTCGATATATTACTTCACAGTTAAATTTCTATCTTTTGTTATTGACTTTAAATCTATTCAAATTCAATAATATTCTTTTAAGTGTATATTCAATGTTTATCACATACATTATGTATATATACATATATACACACATATAACTAAATAAGGGATCTGTTCATTTAGCATATATCTATTGACTGCCTACTATGATCCAGACGATTTTCTATGTATGAGGCTTACATATGGGTGAAGAAAACAAAGATCTCGTCCTTCATGGAGCTTAAGGTCTAGCAGGGGAGGGCAGTAAACAATAGACATAATAGGTAAGGTATATACTATGACAGAAAGTGTTAAGTCATATGGAAAAAGAAAACGGGGAGCAGGGATGAAGAATCGGGAGTTCAGGGAAAGTATGGCATTTGATTTTTTAAGTATGGTCGTTAGAACAGTGACATTGAATTGAAGGAGATGTGGGGTGAGGTACATGGATATCTGAGGAAAGAGTTTTCCATGCAGAGGAAAAAGCCAGTGCAAAGGCCCTGAGGTATGCTTGCTGTACTCAAGCAACAGCAAGGCCAGTGTGGCTAAAACAAAATGAATGAGGACAGGGGTAGAATTTAAGTCAGTAACTGTAGAGTGGGATAGGGTAGGGTGCAGTCTTCAGGTTTGACAGCTAGATTCATCATTATAAGGACTTTTATTCTGAGTGAGGTAGGGAGTCATTGAAGATATTGGAGCACGGAAGTGACTTTATTTGACTTATATTTTAAAAGGAGCACTGTAGCTGCTGGTTGGGAAGAGGTTATATAACATGTACATCAACTTCTATGTGCTTTCCTTCACTCTGAATGGCAAGTGTACTTAATTTTTACCCTTTTTCTGTGTAACACAACATCCCCACCTCTTCCCTTTAACAATGCAACAGAAAGTGAAGTTTATGGTTTCTATAATATTTCAAACTAGTTCTTTTAGTTATCTTCTCTTTACTACTGCCTTAGACTATATCTGAGTTCTTGGTTATAAATACCTAATGGATTTAGCTATACGTGTTACTTCAACAATAATAACAACGGCTGATGAGATATATACACACACACACATATATATAGCATTTAATAAGTGAGAAGCCTGCTCTAAGTAATTTTATTTATACGTTATTATTTAATTATTAAATATTATGTTTTATAATTAAATATTAAAATTACTAATCCTCCCAACATCTTATGAGATAGGTACCCTTAATTATTAGCGTTAAAACTGAGGCACAGATAGGCTGAGTGACTTGTCCAAGATCACACAGCTGACACAGTATCAGAACCAGAATTCAAGCCAAGCATTTCAGCTTCAGATTTTGTACTCAACTGTTTCAGATCTTACCACCAGTATTTGAAAAGTAATGTTAGGATTGCAAATAACTAAAGTTTCCTAATATTCTCTTAAACATTTGAAAGATGAAGTGAAAAATTAAGACAATAGGATATTTTAGAGTATGTTTTAAAATAGGAGAATTTTCACCAAGAAGCTGTTAAAAATGAACCACCAATAATCCAAACTCATAAATAAAGAGACCATTAACTGGGTAAATATTGGTCACTGAAAAAAGTAAGCACTGTTCCAATATTTGAACGATGTCTTTTTAAATTTGTTAAAATAAACATGATAATCATCAAAAAGGCAGGCAGTATATTGAGACTGAGAAGTCATTTCCCTTGCGCATACGTCTCTGTAAAAATCTTTTGAAGTGAGACTTTTTCTGTGTAGTTTCAGCCAAAAGGTGATTTCTTGGAATGGTCAAGTTAATTCATTTCAGCTGTCCTAGAGTCTTATGCAGGTGAAAAAAATATGCCTTTCACACAGTAAAAATTTCATGATTTTTGTGTTTATAAACTCAAATCAAAGAAAAAAACCATAAAGTTCTGCTTAGCAAGGCAAATAAAGCTGCATTTTCTCAAAGGTCAATGTTTTATAAATTGGAAAAATAAATAGTGACAGAACAAGGATCATGTAGTTATGTATTTATTTTATTTTTGAAAGATGGAAAAAAAATATGTCAATGAATTTTGCTGAAATCTAAGTTAACTATCTCTAATCTTTCTATTGTCTACTTGCATCCACGACTCTTAGAAAACATTTTGTGGCAAAGAAGTTCCACTCTCCCAATTCCCAGCTCACAGAACTTCAAGGGGAGCGAGGTATCTGCAATGATATTTGGCACGCTGTCACCTGTGCTATAAAACCAACTGCTAAAATAACCACTTTTCTACTTGCTCAGACTCTCCATTGGGAGAGTTTGAAGATATAATAAGCGAATGTGTTTTATGAGGGGCTGAAAAGCAGTTGCAATGAAGGTAAAAAGTCTGGATTTCCAACATGGACATATCTGCATTCAAATCATGCATCCAATATTTACTATATGACTTAAGATGAACAGTACATCCTCTTTTAGGCCTCAATTTCTTCTTCGGTAAAATAGAGATTGAAAAAAAATACCTGCATCAAAGTTACTGAGAAGATTAAATCGTAGAGTTTTGGGGAGTCTGTGACATATATATCAAATACAAAACAATGTGAGATTTTTCTCTCCATGCCACGGAACACATGCTCCAGTAAAAGAGAAAGAAGACTCCTGGCCCACTGCCACATCTTGTGGCACCATTACAGGCATATTTCCAGGTAAAATCACTCCCTCAGAGTCGTAGTCTGCAATGAGTTTCAGAAAGTGGGAAACAGAATCTTCCAGGAGGAGCCCTGAGGCATAAGACTAAGGTGCATTTGATAAAAAGAGCTGTCCTTAAACCTGTTCTCAAGATGAGCTAGCTCAAAAGCCATTGCTTAGTACTGAGGAGAAAGGAAGAGAAGAAGAAGGGGACTATTAACTCCTAGCAAAAGTGCAAGGGAGATCAAGATTTGTGGGAGATCAAGATTTGGCCACCCTGAAATACATCTCTTTACCTTGATTGTGTTCTCTGATGGACATTTGACCTCCCCCACTTACTGCCTAAAGAATTTGACATGGTAACTCCTTCCTGGAACAGATCTTCTATCTGATGGCTGTAATATAATGTAAAATAGATGTTACAATAGAAAAGGCATCAACAAGCCCATCTTATTGGAAGTTCTGTCTCTCTGGCCACATTCTCTGGATGGCCCAGGGAGGAGTTGCCAGACAAACATTTACATTTATAAGGGAAATCTCCATTTTTACATTTATAAGGAAAATCTCCATTTGTAAAGGTATCTCCCTCTCTGTATTGGGAAGAGGGGGGATGACCTCATTTCTAGAAACTTATCAATGTGGAAAGTGAGGCCTTAAATCTGCATAATAATCTTACTCTTGTTTACTGTGCTTTAGTGGTAATCTGTAACAGACTCCTCCCACCCCCAACATCCTCCTTTGTCTTTAGCCGAACAAGGTATTTAAGATGAGAATTTCTGCTATTGTGTTGAGAAACGCAGTGTCCCTGCTTTCTCCCATGTATACATGTTATTAAACTTGGTATTATTTTCTCCTGCTAACCTGTCTTGTTAATTATTTGGCCAGCCATAGAACCTGAAGGGAAGGGGCAGAGGGGGATTGTCCCTCTTCCCCCAACACATTCTAGTCCTCAACATGTTCATGGTCAGAATAGAGTCCAGCAGAGGCAACAACTGCGTATTACATAGGCTTTGTAATTATTTTGAGCTTCATATTCCACCAATCATTTTAGCATACTTCTTTTGAATGACAGTTCAGCTTGCTGCATAATTTTGACACATCTAATTTTCCTATAGAATGGAAGTTCCTTTAAGGCAGGGACATATATTCTTCTTGATGACTAGACTAGCACTTTGTGTTTGTGGAACTGAAAAATAGAGGAAAAGGCCCCTCTATCTTCTTCCTTCAAACCTTCACGGATCAGGAATCCTCACCCCGAAGTTCCACACTCAGATACTTGTTGAGGGGTCTGAAGAAAGCCCCATCTCTGATGCAGAGAATAGAAATCAGTATAACAAGTGATTTCTTTTCTATGTTTTGCAGGGAAGTGTTCGTGGCCCCGATAAATGTGGGCCCTGTATTCTCATGTAGGTCTTATAGTAACAAGTTTGGTAGTCTTTTGTATCTCTGCTGTGATATTTATTCAATCTATAAGAATTCACCTAAAACATTTTTAAATAAGCTGATAAATATTATTGCATCAACCCCTTTAAGAGTGTGTATTTTGATAGGTGCTCAACAATAGAGCAAATCCATTGTTTTGTTTATTGAGAACAAACATGTTCAAATTTTAATTTCTGTATGTTTTCTTTCTCCCTCAGGGAAGCAAACATTTCTTTATTTGGGAAGACTTGAAAGTAGTCTAGCTTAAGGAAAAATACTAAAAGGCTTGTTATGCAGCGATAGTTTGCATTCTATACTTCTTGTGCTACATAACCTTGTTTTCTATAGTAAAACACAGAGAACTCTATTGGATGTGTTTCTCACAGCACTGGGAGGAAACATATTTCTGCATAATATCTTATTTTTGATAAAGTCTAAGCACAGTAATATTCAAAAGTTACAAAAAATCATTGGACATAATTATAGACAATAAATTAGTGTTTATAAATAGGCAGCTTTCTTCTTTTGAAGGCTTGTGTCAACTTTTCTTTTGCTGAATTCTATGAATTTTTAGATCATTTGTCCTTCTTGCTTGTGTATCTCTGCCCCCCTCCACTTTGTCTTAAAAAAATACATATTTTAATTGCAGAATATGGTATTCTACTCACTTGACATTCCAATTTCTTTTGTTAACCCAACACCAAGGAATCTATAAAATATTGAGCACTAAAATTTCCTTTTCCCACTCAATATCCACCACTGTTGTCAAGTATGTACAGAGCTTTAACAAACCAAGGAATGGTTTTTTCCTTCATTTAAAGTAGAATACGTATGAATGCATTTCTTACCTGACTAAGAATACGACCCCATTTTCTTCCTATTTTTTCCACCAAATCAAAAATTGGAAAATTCCAAGTATTTAGCTGCTCCATAATTGAGTCCAAGTTATCCATGACAAGAGGCTCAGGAGCAAGAATGGGTTTGTCCTGTCATGAAAATAAAAATATTTTAATGACATGCAGTTTTTCTACAAAGCAATTTGTGCTTTGGTAAGTTCAATTCAACGACTGAGTTCACCTAAAATAAATGACTTAAAGCCTCAGGGTGAATGAGTGATCTTTAAAAAAGAATCAAGATGAATAAGACAATGACCCCAAAGTAAGGAGAAAAGGTCCTAAGGCTGTCTCAGACCATGAATTTTGCATTCTTAAGTGCTGGCCTACTGTTGGTTCATACACACTACAGCAAAAAAATGGACATTTCTTCCATAAGTTAACATAACTACTTTTTAGTCTACTGTGGGGTTCTTAAATAAAGACTCAAGGACTTCAGAACACTCTGAAATTATATGTAAATCTACCTCTTTATATGTTTATGTAAATTTTTCTGGGGTGAGGGTTCCTGCTTTACATTGGACTCTCAAAAGAAACCCATGAGTAGAGAGGGGGAATTATCACCCCTACTCTAATTGGTTGAATTTGTACTGTTGCTTCAAAATCAGCATTAATTCTGTGGAATGACAACAGCCACATTTTTCTTGGATTTCAATTTAATTCATGTGATGTACAGTTTCCAAAGAAACACATACCATGTAAATGTAAAGACATTTTATAATTGGTCCCAAATGAGGACATTCTTAAGAGTACATTTACCAAAAAATAGAAAATAAAGGTAATGAGGATAAGGAAACACATAAATTATTTTATCTGACAATCTCTTTGATTTAAAAGTATACGTGGTAAATCAGTTAAAGAAATGATAATCCCAGCAACGGATAATCACATGACAGTCAACTATTGTCTACCATTTGCAGCCTCCTCAAAATTAACTTGACTGAAATGTATGTTTTCATCCTCTTTAAATGGATCCCTTTAATCACACAAAATAACTCATCATTAAAGGATATTTTAATGGGTAGCAAGGGTCAATATAAAACCAGTTTACTATAACAGGGAAAATAAATACTGGCTCACTTTCTAAATCTAGGAAGTGTTAGAAAAAAGCAAGCAGGAGCCCTAAGACAACTAACACGTTTCACTTTTATTGACTGATTGATATTTATAAAATATTGTTTTACTGAATGAAATAATTCATTTTTCCTCGGCAGATTTATACTTTTAGATTGGGTTAAGAAATATCTGTAATCATTTGTGGAGATGAATACTTATATTTTTAACCATTAAATAACAGAAGCATTAAGAGACCAATTAAGAGATCTTACCAACAGGGAAAAAATATATTGATACATATGGGTAGGGTATAACACATGTGTGATCCAAATGAGCTATATCTGTCATTCTACCGATTCAGGGATCTAGTTCTAAGCCAATTTCTGTAACAGAAGCCAACTTCTCAAGTAGATGAATAAGTTCAGCGATATGGGGCTACCAGGAATATCATGGTCTCAGGCGTGTAGGTGCCGCAAGCCGACGCTTTCCTCAGAGGCTCTCTCAGGCACTCGGTCTCATCTTCATTCTGTACAATATCACTGCTATCACTGTTGTTATTGGTTTCATAATCAGAGGTAACTTGAGCAGTGTCATCTGCAATTGAAAGAGAACAGCTTACAAAACTTGCAATGGAAAAAGGGGTCCCACTTCAGCAAATATTCCTAAAATGCATACAGTAAATACAGTGTTTGGGGAAATATTGCTTTCATGAGCTTACACACCAAGAGTAGAAGATCACAGAGTGGGAGAAAGCACACATTATTTAACCCAATAAAATAGATGGAATTATGATCTGTGATTTATATGACATTCAATAACTCCTTAATAATTTTTAGATCAGTAGTTCATATCTTTTTAAAAATCCTATGACTTTATATTTCTTTTTCCTCTATGCATCCCCCAACACACTAAACCACCCAGCAGGTGACTAAAACATCAACTCTCGAATGGGCACACGGGTGGGAGAAATTGAGTTGACATCCAATGACAAAGTGGTCTGTAGAACTTGGTGCATTAGCACGTGCTTAAGAGTGTGGAAGATTCTATATATCCAAACTCAGTCTCGAGGAATCTGTGGCTTCCTTCCTTATGTACCTCCCTCCACTGTCTCCCATTTCAGTCAGCACTAAACTGGGCTAACTAGAGGATCAATCAGCAACACCAAGTGTCCGAAGAACATACTCCTGGGGCAAAAATCTCAGGGGCTTCTCGCAGCTGACTTAAGATGCCTGAATGAAGTTTATTGAGTGCTTGCTCTGGACCTAATACCACAGAAAGCACTTCATTTGTACTAACACATTTAAACCTCTCAACAATCCTATGAGACAGGTATTATTGCATTACTGCATTTTATTATCCTCACTTTGCAGATAAGACACTGAGGCACAGAAAGGATAAGTAAATTGCCCAAGGCACCCAGCTGGTAAATTTTGCCACCCAAATTTGAACTCATGGAGTCTGACTCTAGTTCCTATACTCTTTGCTTTTTAATGAAGCCTAGGTTTTTTTTTTTCTTTTATGGTTATTGCTTTCCACGGCCTGCAAAATCTTTGCCTTCCCCAAGTCACAAAGATATCTTCCTGGGTTTCTTCCAGAATCTTTATTGTTTTAGCTTTTACTTTTGGGTCTATGCTCCATCTCAGAATAATGTTTCATGTGGTGTGAAGCAGGGGGCGAAATTCATTTTTTTTCCAACCCCATTGGATTGCTCTGACATCTTTGTTGAAAATTCAACGACCATGTAGGTGTGGGTCTAATTCAGGGCTCTCTACTCTATTCCATTTGTTCTATTTGCTGGTCCTTATGCCAGCACCGCACTATCTTGATTACTGTAGTTTAAGACTTGAAGTCAGGTAATGTATTTCCTCTAACTTTGTTCTTTCTTCAAGATTGCTTTGGATAGTCTAGGTTTGTTGTATGTCCTCATATATTTACTAACTGATTTTTCTTAAGTTGCTAGTGAATAATGGCTTTTGTTATTAAGCCTACTCCTATCAGGAGTATCTTGTAGGACTTTCCCAAGGACCCATCTTTCTTCCATCTTCCTCATGCAACTGCTTTTCTGTTAGAATCAGACAAAGTATGAAAATGTAATTGCCAAGTTTCAATCCCAGAACTTGTAGAAAAAATGAAAAGCACACTCAAAGGCCACAGCTCTACATGAGACCACAAAGGCGATAAGGAAATATTTCCCTTATCCTATCAGCCTCAATAGAGTCAGAGAAGATCAGGGACATACGGAAGGGAATATTCTGAGTCTTCAGAATGCTGCAATATCAGATAATGGCCACACAGAGAACTCTCCTTGCCTAGGTGTCCCCTGCCCTTTGTACATTGCCACAGCACACCATTCTCATAGGCAATAATCAATCAATATTTATTGAGTATACATCAAGAAATGCTGAAGCAGGTAATTCAGAATCATTCTTAGGTAACTCTATCACCCTATAGTTCTTAGAAACCATTGTTTTCTACCTTGTGAACTTTCAGCACTAACAAAAGCAAGTCCCTAGGGTTGTATCAATAAAAATATAATAATAATTATTATAGTAATGGCAGCACACATTAACTACTTACAGTGACCCAGATAACAATAAGTTCTTTATATGTCCTATTTGGTAGGTACTACTATTATCCCCATTCTACAGACAAAGAAACTGAGGCACAGAGACTACAAACTAGTAGGTAGCTGAATGAGGATATAAACCAGGCTCATATGACTGTGTTCTTAACCTCTCCATAATACTGCCTCAAGGAGACACTGTTTTTTACAAGCTTACAGTGATCTAAGCAGGGTCACTCCTTAGGGTCTGCAATGGAGATCCCCAGAGAGTACCCTAACATGGATGACCTTCCAATGTCTAAGATAAAACAACATTTTACATAGTTCTATACATTATACAAAATAGTCTCTAATTTTTAAAAAATACATACAGTTGTGTACAGATATATAGAAACGCTCTGGACAGCTTTGCACCAAAATTTTTCCCATGATTAACTCTAGGTGGTAGGATTATGGATGATTTTGATTTCCTTGTCTTTTATAATTTGTAATCTAAAAAATCAGGAATGTATATTACCTTTTTGATCAGGAAAAAAAAAAAAGTAAAGAAATTTCCCTTTTGAGGAACAGAATCCAAACAAAGAATTACCCGTTCTGCCTGGTGTCCGGATGGCTACATCACTTCTCTCCAGGGGCCCATCAGCAGGATTCCCTTGGGAATACGGTCTGCCACAGCTGAGAAATATTGGAATAGCTGTAAATATATCCTCTCTTTTCAAAAAATCGAAGGCATATACCATCTATGTGTACATTAAGATAGATAACAATAATCAAATATTTCTACCTTCTATTTATTTGTTTGATGGAAAAAATTCATTTTGTTTTATGCATGGATGCTGACACGCAGTATGCTGTTTTCTTTTTTGTGAGCGCGTGATCAATACAAAGGATCAGAAACTTAGTTCAACTCTCATCCTCCTCCATAGTCTAGACCATATTCGAAGTGCAACTACCAGCAAAATTTTGTTACATTATTTAGAGAATGCTGGAAAAGTCTGCCACTTACTCATAGTAGTGATTTTGGAGGGGCCGACGTGTATTTGGTCAAAACTATCTTCCACAATGGAATCCCTTTGTGCCTGCTTAAAACCCTCATTATTAGATTTATCTCTATGGGTTAAGACATTTACATCCAAAGATCCCTTTAAGAAAAGATTGCACATGTGAAAATAGAATGATAGGATATTAATTTTATTTTTTGTCACAAAATAAAAATTATTCTTTTCAGATTGATCAGTCATCTGTGAAGGCCCTAAGGAAATGAACAAAGTAGAGGTACATTTTGATGAAGAGGGAACATGAAATTGACCGCATACGATGCTAGTTGAGAAAAACAGGCCAAGGGGGTACACTGTGGGTGTCCAAGACAAATGAAGGTACTTGATAGGTGGATGGGCTATCTAACAGAGAAGGTTGGAGGAGTAGGACACTTTTGCTTTCTCAACAGTTTTGACTGTTTTACAAACTAGACAGTAACCCCACAAATGGCCTGGCAAGTTTCCTCTCTCATTTATCTTGTTTACAGACTTCATGATTAGATTTTAATTCTGCATTTTGCTTCTGGCTTCTTTCCTTCTGCCTAATATTAAAAAGGGTCTCAGGGGTTTTTATTTGTTTGTTATTGAACCACAGATTACTTATTCTAAAAGTAAAAGAAATGAGTGATAATTTATAATACATTAAACGTCTCACCACTTTTTTTCCTGAATTGTGCTTATATGTGTAGTGGAGATAAGCATTTTCCAGTTAGAGAGTATTTTCATCCTAAGTACATTTATTTTTCAAGCCTTGGATGTAAGTGGAAAAGCATCAAATGCAAAATATTTCTAATTATGAAATACCATCAGTTTGATTCAGGGAATCAAAAGAAAATGACAGGACCAAAGGAAAAAGAAAGTAGATGCAAATGCTGGGCTTACATTCTCGGATGAAGCTTGGTAGAAGTAGAGTTTATTAGTTTTAAGATTTTTCATTGCAAGATAATACTTAAAAGGAACACTTAAATTAGTAGTTCAAACAGACTACCCCTCATGCCAAAAAACCAGCTTGTTGCATAGACATTGCAGCAGCCAAGAGACTGAGATTCAACGCCAAACACTTCGAGTTCAGCAGGGGAAACCACAATAATTAGTCGTGTGTTTCTGGAGCTCTCTGTGCCTACATGGGTGGCTGCCTTGAAGGCAATAATAAAACATGGTTTGAATTATAGATTTATAAAGCCCAAACAAATAAAACACACTACTGGATTTATAAACATTACTGAAGAAGTAGGCAGTGAAATTCCCTTGTTTTTCTCCAAAACCTCTTTTATAAAAATCCCATTACATTCTTCCCATTAAGAATACAAAAATTAGACTGTGATGAGAAAAGCTATGTGAGTGGTAGATCTTTTCTGAACATCTCTCTCCTTCCTTTGGGTGACTTATTTCCCGCAAGTTTGGAGCCCACAGTGGGAGAATCTCCCTAGAAACACTGGAAACAGATATCCTTGATGCTGCTCACTCCACTGGGCTTCATCGTGGCTCGGGATACGTACCACAAAAAATGTTCCTTAAGGGTGTTCCACCAGACACTAGCTCCATAGGCAATTACTGGGTATTAACCTAAAGAAATTGGTTCTGCGGTCAAATAAATTCAGAAAACGCTAGAAAAAACAAAAATCAAGAAGTTTTCTTTTTGCAGTACTTCTCAGAGCTTTTAATAAAGTAATGTGTGTTGTGAATCACTAAGAGGAAAATAGGATATGTCTATTTTACCACAGATCATGCTTTTTTTGGGGGGGAAAGATGAGATTAACATCTCACAGAAATTATTTTATTAAAATAGTTGTCATGGAGAGATCAGCAGAATAACTTTTGGATGGTAGAATAACTTCTTACTCTGGCCCTGGCTAAACAAACAAAAATGATTTTCCCTTTAAAAATATTTGTAAAGAGACAGGAAGTAAAAATAAAGACTATAAAAAGAAATAACATTCATTTACCTTATAGAGTTTATGAACAAAGGATCTGAAAATGAAATTTGTGAGGCTTAAAACTGAATATATGATTAAATCTGGGTGTGTGAACCAACATGTGATATTAGAAGACCAACGTGTAACTAATTTATTCAAATTGTTATCCTCATTAACCTTAGAAAAGAAATAGCATTTTATTCAAGGCACTGTCACGATTATACTTAATTTAAAAAAACTCAACTATTTTCTACTTAAAAAAATATTATAATGCCTTAAGATCAGTTATTCAAGATCAAGCTATTACTGAAGAACAATAATACATGAATCAGTAAGAGGAGGTATTTCTTTCTCAGTGACAATGTTGGCAAAATAGTCACTCTTGCCCTTTTTCTTATCCTCTGTGAAAAGACAAAACTTTGTCATTGTATTTCAGCATGATAAGCAGTACAAGCAATTACTTAATTGCACTCAGAGACCCATCTGAGTCCAGCCATAATGTGCCACGTGTTATTTGCACGTTTTTAAAGTGATAAAATGGGAATTGCAAACAAGATAAAATACCCTTAAAATTGATATAAAATCCTCAGAGAACAAGTAAAAAATAATTCCAACAAAATATTAACCTACTTGATATTATTTTTTAATTATATGTTTTATGCATTCTCCATCAGTGAGCAAATGAAATATACAACTAATTATTTTATATCACCTCGAAAGATAGCTGTATGGACCATATGGACTCTAAACTTTCTATTAATAGAAAACCACTGAAAAACTGGTTCGATTATAGCCTGTTCAACACAAATCACATTATCCTATGCTTTCTTGTCAACTACTCTGGCAAATGTACACATAACCATGTGGACGGGTGGTGAGTGTGGAAAATTAGTATTAGTTTTATTATTAGTTAAACTCTAGTTAACAATATAAAATCCTTACCTGCTACATATAACAGGCGGAGTCAGGATCTGAGGAGATAAGTCAGGGGCACTCTGAGTATAAGTTAAGGCCCTATGAGAACTTAGGCCTTGTTTGGCAGTTGTGTTGGCAGATTCTGGAAACTGCACTGCAGAAATTTTGCTGACTGGGCTGCTGGCAGGAGTCCCTTGGAGAGGTGAGGAGCAGGGCGATGAAAGAGGTGAAATTTTAGCTAGGGCACCTGAGAAAGAGAGAGAGTTATTAAGTCACTAAATACATGTCTTTGAAATTCAAAATCACAACTCAAACTTCACCTTGGACTTCTTTTAACTCGATAAGGACCATGTGAGTACGCTGGCCTCCTCTGCATGTCACCATCTGGAGACAGGGTGTACAGTGGGGGAGTCTCCACAGCATGAAATGTGAGGGATGAATCATCATGAAAAAATCAGTGGCAATGTTGGCAAATCCAGTTAAAGCCTTGGTGTCCTGGAGTTACTTCAGGACAGAAGGATATTATTTTCTTCTCCCATTTTTGTTTCTTTTTGTCATTCTGACATGATGACAGTAATTAAAACTTTCTCACATATTTGCCTTCTCTTAGCTTGTGAAGTTTTTAGCAGCAACAGGGTCTGCTATTGTTTTAAACATTAACGGATTTGTAGCAGAGTTTGGCCAACATCCGATGCTTAAAATATGTAAATAAAGAAGATACATTTTTGAGAGTTAATTAACTTTATTAATCATCCACATTTTCAGTGAAACTACTCTGTGTGAAATAGTACTTTGATCAGAATAATTTCTGAAGAAAACATTTAAAAATGTAATACCATCCATTTCAAATCAAACAATAGGCCTACAGTTTACATTTTAAGTGTGGATATTTGTGCCAAACTATGATTATTCTCGATTGTGAAAATTTTACAGAGCACTGGCTTAGATTTCAAAGTGCTGATGTCTGAGTACAGGGATGATGCCTTTTGAAGTCGCTCTCTCCCAAACATGGAGAAGGCAGCCTGCACTTAAAATTGAAGAATAGAGAGAAATAGCTTCTGAACAACTACCTGCTTAGTGTTTTTCATGATTTAATGGCTGAACAATCTACTGTAAAGCAAATGAAATGAAATCATTAATCATTCCCACTCCGGGGAAAGGTATAGCCAGCAGCCCTCACCATCATCGAACAATATGTGTGGTGAACTGGCAGCTGACTTAATTTGCTTCCGATGTCCAGTCCTCTCAGAAGTTTTATTTGTCACATCCAAAGTTTTCTGGTCCACTGAAAGGAATATGAAGCTTGTTGAAGGGCTTTTGTAATTTTCTTTTTTAGCTTCTTGTTGGCACTGTTATTTGTTTTGTTTAGAAGACGAGAAATCGTACTCTTTCTTTGATTAAGTGTGGAGACCAGCTACCCCTCCTAGTCTTTTCCTCTATATTTCTATTGTCGATTCTTGATCAACAGATCAATCCACTGCTTTTATACTTACCCACTGAAACTACTTAGACCCAGAGAGGTTAAATAACCTTCCCACATCACAGCACTAATAAGTAGGAGAATATGAAGTAAATCCAGCTATTCTTAGTAAAATGTGGTTTATTAGCCTATACTTCTACCAGAGACTGCCCAAGGAGGGAGAAAAATCCATTATCTACTAGGTCACATTTGTATCACTCTTTACAATGACATGCCTTATGGTTTTAATTTTGATTTCTATTTCTATTGAAAAGATTTAGCTATTTTACCAAAGATATTGACAAACTTTCATATTACATAATCCCCAAGCTAAAGAAAATTAAGTTCTCTAAATTTTTAACTCAGTTTTCAAACCAACTTATCATGTGTGCAGCAAGTGGGTTATAGGTGCCCTGTGAAGTTCTAATGATTGTAAAATTTTTAAAAAGAAAGATTTTATTTGGAAGCTCCAGAATAAATTTAGTTTTAACATTATCACTAATATTTTATAATATATTTTATTATAATTTTATAATAAAGGAAATAAAATTTTCACCAAGCTCTGACTCCCTTCCCATTTCTCCATTGCTGCATAACATTATAGGTATAAAGGTGACCAAGGTATTTGCACAGAGTAAATATCTCAATGATTTGTTCACTCAACAAACATTGATTGTGTACCCTATCCCAGGGACTAAGGATGCAGTAGTGAACAGAAAAATTCCCTGCTCTCAGGGAGCTTCTGAAGCAGGGCACCTGAGGGTTACGGTAGATATCCAACAAGAACATGATTGCCTTTCAACCTTGTTCCCAACACAGACATAGATGAATCTTGTCAATTTGCTGTTTTCTTGTTTAACTTGAGAGGTGACTCAGAGGTCACGAGGATTTGTGAGCTTGTTTTGCAGAAAAAAGAGAATGCCTTCAGGGAGGTTGCAATCACTGATGGCCAGCCCCCAGCTGCTGTTGACACCAGAAGTCAGATTGCCCAGGGGCTTATCGGGAGTGACCCCTTTGTTTCTCCAAAGCTCCTCCTGCCAAGCTCCTTAGCTATATAAAACTCCCTGCTTTCTGTTCTTATTAAGGTGGATTTGAGAGAGTCTATCCCCCTGCCTTCTTGTTTTGGCCAATTCGAATAAAACTTTCTCCATCTCCAAGCACCAATGTCTCAGTGTTTGGCTTACTGAACATTGGGTACATGAACTTGAGATTAAGAGGTTTGGTATGACTTCCATTCTTTCAGGGGAGACAGAAACTAAAAACGGAAAAAGAGGAGGAGGAGGAAGAATGAAGATGAAGGAGGAAGAAGAAGGAGGAGGAGGAGAAGAAATAAAAGAAAATCAAGTAGTTTTAAGTGATGTGAGGAAAAGTAACGCAGAAGGTAGAGAACAGAGAAGGACAGAAGTGCTCTCAAGGTAAAATTTGAAGAGAGGCCTGATGAAATCAGAGACATTTAGACAAACATCTGAGGAAAGCTTGTTCCAGAAAGAGGGGTCAGAGGATCAGTCAGGAGGTCAGGGTGGCTGCAGCTTAGCAAAGAGGAAGAACAGGGGCAGGGAATGTGGTCACAGGTTGCTGGGCAGGGCTATATAGGGCCAGTAGGCTAAGGCATGGTTTTAATTACTGTATCTTAAAAAAAAGAGACCCCTGATAGGTGTAGCTTTAGGCCAATTCCTTAATTATTTTGATAGCTAATTGTGAGTTTTTTGACAATTTTATACCACTTTTTTACTATAATTCAAAGCCCAAGTCTGTCTTGACACAATATGTCTTCTGAAGGTAATTTATGAGAAGCGTGATTTTTTTCACTGCTAATTTCTAGTAGCTGCCAGCTGACATCCTCAGAGAAACGCAATTCACTCTTACATACAAATTTAAAAATCCACTCAACGATTATAGATCTTGGAACTCGTGGATTAACTAAAACAAATAAGCAGACTTAAGACTCCAAACTTACTGCCTGGGACGAAACTTAAAATAAACCTTGTACCAGAGGAAAAGTGCTTTGCTTCTGCAGTGCTATTCATCTACATGTTTTGAACACTTCTGACAAGCATGGGTCTTGCCAGCACAATGAAAAGCAGGGATATTTTTATTCTGTAGGTGAGAAGATAAAGGTATAAACATATAAATTCCTTTTTTTCCCAAGCCAAACTACTATTTCTCACAGGGTGTATTATAGTTTACTTAAAGTTTTAAAAACAGAAAGGATTAGGAATGCCATAGGAAATAGGCAGATATTTACATATTTTAGTCTTCAAATAGATGAAGAGATATAAGTGTAGATGATAACCAAATACTCTTTCTTTCTAGAAAGGATAGACTACAAATAAATATTCCAGACACAGGAACAGGATACTCCAAAGGAAATGGGAGAAATGGCCTTCTTACAAGTCTTCAAAAACATTATTTTCTAAGATGTTTTAAATGTAATCATGTCTGAAGTTAAACGGATGAACTTTGTGACCTTTGAAGTCTCATCCAACTTTATGTTGCACACTCACACATTTACACACACACACACACACACACACATGGGTGAAGGGATTCAGATAAACACGTACTCTCTCAAATATATTTATCTTCATTTTATATTTCAGTAATTTTAACAGACTCCAGGAAAAAGACATAGCTCATGAAATATAAATCTTTATCAAACTACCCTAATATGAAATACTTAAAATTAAAACATTTAAAAATTAAAAATATACCCAAAATTTCTAGAACACCAACTCCTTTGAGTAATTCAATCTTTACTTCCTTGCTCCTGAGAGCATGAGAAAATGTGTGTCAAGACACAAGGAACTTTGGGCAATCAAAGGAAGATGATAAACAATACTGGAGGGAAATTATTTAACTGAATCCATCTGTTTTGTGCTGTAAAACTCCTTGTTTATTTTTAATTGAACAAGAAAGGAACCAGCATGTCTGATACATACATGCCTCTTTTCCTTGCCCACAGGAAAATAGACAGCCCTAATATTTTTCCAAAACAGAAAATGTATCTAAAGTATAGAGAATGAAAAAAAATCACAATCCCATAATTAAAGTTATCTCTCATTTCAAATTCTCTATAGGAAAAACTCACTGTAACTTTTAAGGTATAGAGATATTTGTAGTCATTGTAATAGGATTATAAGAATCTTGTAAGAATTATAAGAATCTGCAAAGAGACTACTGCAAATTCAGTAAGTATGAATTAGAGGAATTTTAAAAGTAGAATGACATAATGGCAGGTCTACACTGTCAGTGACTCATAATAGAAAAGTAAGATTGAAAATGCAAATTATACTTAAATCTTCCATTTTTATGCTTTAATCAAAGGACTCCTATGTGATTTCATCCATTTATTTTATACTAGTAACTGCATAATAATTGGTTGTGTTTTAACTATTTAAATTAATCCTGATTGATTGAGCTAGAGGACACACTACCTGATCTGTGCAAAGAACAGGTTTCATTTCATCTCAAATTTCATTTCCTCTTGAAACAGGTCATTTATCACCCAGTGTTTTTCATCTCTACTTTACCCTTGCATCGCCCCTACCTCTTCTGCGTATTGCTTCTTACTTTCCTCTGCAGACTCTCTTCACACTTTATTTGATTCCATTTCTTTATACTCTGCCACATAAAGGGGCTTTTCCTGGCCCCTTTCCACACAATATATTGAAAACCAGGGGACATCGCAGTCAATCACAAAATAGCACATCTCCTTAGCTCAATCAACCCCAACATGCCATCAATGCAGGGAATCATGGGTTTCCAAAAAGAAGGGCTCATGTGATCAG